TATATATATATATATATGGGACACTAGGATAATACATACACCTACTGATACGTTCAGGTATATATATATATGGGACACTAGGATAATACATACACCTACTGATACGTTCAGAAATATATATATATATATATATGGGACACTAGGATAATACATACACCTACTGATACGTTCAGGAAATATATATATATGTATGGAATACTAGGATAATACATACACCTATTGATACGTTCAAGAATACTTTCATAGAATATTTGGCATTTTTTCTCATGGACTTGTTTGTTAGTTGTTAAGCACAAAGTCACACGAAGGGCTATCTGTACTCTGTTTATCACGGGTATTTAAACCTGATTTTTGGCGTTATAAGCCCTAGGCCTTATCGCTGAGCCACTCATGAATCATATAGTTATATATCTGTAGGAACATCACACAAGCTTATCAAAGATATATGCAACATTACTATGTCTAGTATTATCCATCGTACGTGAGACAGATATAGACATCATATCTACTGTCAAAGTGTATAGCAGTGATTTTCATTCTCTTGAGCACCTGGATCACGAAACATGTGAATCAAAGTTCAAATTTCAATAGTTTCTATCTGGAAAAAGCCTATGAACTACAAGACGTTTTTACTCAAAGCTACAAAGACTTTCTTACTTGGTTAAACGTATTTAAAACTGTATTACGAAGAAGCTCTGTAGAGTTCAGTTTATAAATGTTCCGTAATTCGACTCTCTGACATGGAGCGACAAACATACCTACTTATCTATTATTGTAAATTGTGGTATTAGTTATTTGGTGATACATTTCTGAATATTTTCAAAGATGACTAAAATGCATTAGCACACTTCGGTTCAACGTCAAATTTTAATTATTTAGCCTTAGCTATGTGGTTTAGTTTCGTATTTGATGTTATAAAATTTCGAATGGCATCTACGTCATTATTTCCATAAAATAGATTACCTTTTTGTCCAAATCTGAAGACTTCGGTCGAGGTTTTGTGGGTGTTCCATTAGACCGGACAGGACTTGGGAGTGAGGGCGGAGTAATTGAATTCTGACTTGAAGCGCTCGCCACAGAGTCTGTTGAATCGGTACCAGTGCACATCGGGGTGGGAGATACGCTAGAAGAAGAATCATCTGTTTTAGGCATAGGGACTGGTGAGGAGCTAGGTGGCGTGTATTCCATTCTGGTTGAATAGATTGGAACTAGGGATGGAACTGGGGAGATGGACTCTGAGTCCGAGGCTATAGTTGATCCCGTTGATTCGTGTTCGTCTATTTCCTTCTCCAACTTAACGAGTCCTGGTGGCTCGATGCCATACTTTGAAGCAATCCTTCCGAGCTCCAAAAGACATAACACCACAGCACGAGGTTGGGTGTGCAATACTAAACAAGAGACCCAGTACGATAAGTAAATTATATATATATATATATACTTGAGACTAAAGAAAGCAAACACTTTATCACACAAATTATGTCAAAAGCAACAAGTAAGACCAGATGAAGAACTAAAAATTATGATATTTAGAAACTGAGTTGCCCATTTTATCAAACCAAATATTACTCAAGGAGATATAGCTGTTTGTTTTAAATTTCGCGCAAAGCTATCTGCGCTAGTCGTCCCTAATTTAGCAGTGTAAAGCAGCTAGTTATCATCTCCCACCGCCAACTTTTGGGCTACTCTTTTACCAACGAATAGTGGGATTGACCATCACATTATAACGCCCCCACGGCTGAAAGGGCGAGCATGTTTGGTGTGAGAGGGCTTCGAACCCGCGACCCTCAGATAGCGAGTCGAGCGCCCGAACCACCTGGCCATGCCGGGCTCAAGGAGATATTCAAGTCAAATTCAACCTTAATCAAAGTTACCTAGTTTTTTGAAATCTAAGGTTATTCAAACAAAGTCTTCAGGCTTTTGAAATTAACTTTATATTGTTTTACAGCTCAAATAACAAAGGGCTCTTTCAACTGAAACCTATTTGATTATCTCAGACTTAAAACTACGTTATTACTCATTAGGTGCCACCTACACAGTATACCTTTTTAAGAATACTTAACTTTTACGATTGAAACTTACCTAAGCCTTCAGATTCAAATATAACAGCTTCACGCACACCAAATTTTCGACACCATTTAAGAAAGTTCTCTGCATTTTCGCGGGCGAAGAAAGACTTCGATCTTGCGTTTTCCCAACATTTGAACGACATCTGTGGGACAACCTACAAAATAATTATTATGTTATCATCAAATGTAAGACACTAAACGCCACTATGAAGTAAAGAAGACAAAATTTAGGACACAAAGAGAGGTACTAATCTGATGAAGAAGATACAAGCGTAGTAAGGTATGAATATGAGCACTTTCCTAGTAGTATTATCAAACTGAAGGCCCATTACTTTATAGAAGTACAGATTTGCCCATTACTTTAGAAAAGTGCAGATTTTTAAAGTCATGATTTTTGTTATATTATCTACGAAAGTTTCCTGTTAATAAATACTCTACACACATCGACAAATATTACAGTTTCCCGTTACAAAACTTTCTACGGTGATACATAACTACGCGACTCTTGTTACGAGATTTTTGAAAAGCACCAATTACGCACAAACCCTTTTGACGTTCGAACGATTTATTTAATTTCCGGTGTTTTATTCACATTACTAATTCTAATATATATATATATCACATTATCAATAATATACTTATTTAATTACGTATAACTTAATTAAAAAATAACACATTTAACATACGATTTCGTAACAACAAACAGCACACAAAACGATTTTACTGCTTGCGACTGTGTTCACCAAACAAACCTTACTGCAAGTTTTGCAGTTTATAATCACTTTTGTTAAAACAGCAAAAAAAAAAAGAATTTTGTTTGTTGGTTTGTTTTGTGTTTAAGCGCCAAACTACACAATGGATCGTCTGCGTTGTGCCCATCGAACAGCGATTTGTAGCGTCAGAAGACCTTAGGCTTAACGCGGAGTACAGGTGGGGCAACAAAAATGAAAATATTTACTAAAAGATATAAAAAAGAATGCGTAGAGAAATCTGGATACATTTATATTAATTATACACGTCTCTAATTTTGAAGTGATAGACTAGAGGGAAGGTAGTTAGTCAACAGCACCCATCGCCAACTATTGAGCTACTCTTGTCAGGCTGAATAGTAGGACTTGACTTTTGTTTGGCAGTAACTACGCAACCTCAGCTTCACAGTCCGACGCGCTAACCACTGGAATCTTAAATAAAATAATTTATGTTAAATTATAAAAACGCCCCCCCCCCCAGTGGCACAGCGGTATGTCTGCGGACTTACAACGCTAGAAACCGGATTTCAATACCCGTGGTGGGCAGAGCACAGATAGCTCATTGTGGAGCTTTGTGTATAACTATAAATGAACAAACAAACAAATTAGAAAAAATTCAAGCCTGAATATACCGATGATATTAATGGTTAACTTTGTAAGAATAATTTATGATTAAATATGTGATAGTTCAACTTTTCACCAGTTCTGAAAGCATTAGAACTGTGTAAAATAAGATGAAGAAAAAAAAACAATCTGCAGAACATGTCCATATATTGAATTACTGCAAAAAATATTTTACATTCTGAGAACTTGGTACTTTAAAAGTAGAAATGATGTAAAACAATTATAAAATTAAAATGTAAAGTGGTGTGTTTATCTATTATGAACAGTTACGCTGATTTAATGATGGATCTCACCTGAGTTATAAACCCCCACAAAATATTAAAACTTATAACAATTTAGATAAAAATGATGGAAGTACGGGACTTAACATATTTGCCCACCCAACAGTGATATGTTTCCAAAACACTGAAGTTTTGGGTAGGTTCTGTTTAAAAAAGAAGAGAGAGAGAGAGAGAAAGGAAATCGTCTATGAAAGATAGCCCTCCTTTTTAATTCAAGCGTCTATTGCGTGAACAAAACTAATAAAACGTGTATTTCAATATATATATAAAAATATATATATACAAATCTCTTGAACTCCCCACTAACACCCTTCATTATGTGACGAATATTGTAGGCAACATATCTCGGACATGGAAGGTTAGAAAGATAAAATTTTATGAGATTATTGTTTTCAAGCTGCAATACTGCCAAAAATACAACGCCAAAATTAGGGGTTCGATTCTCAGCCGTGAACACAGTAGATAACCCAATGTGGCTTTACTCGAAAACAAACAAATTCTTTGTTAAGTCGGAGAAACACGCAATATACATATATATATATATATTTAAACATAATCTCCACTGTATTTTCATAAATCAAATAATTTTGATAGAAAAACAGTCTTTCATGATATCATATAGAAGTTTATTGGTTTTATATGTTTGGTAACTCTGAATATATGATTTATAAATGGTATAACACCATCCTCAAGTTTATGGTCTTACTGTCATGTAAGGCTTGGCATGGCCAAGTGGTTAGGAGCTCGACATGTAATCTGCGGGTTGCGGGTTCGAATCTCCATCTCACCAAACATGCTCGTTCTTTCAGCCGTGGGGGCATTATAATGTGACGGTCAATCCCACTATTCGTTG